GTTAGCTTCACCTGGCACTCCTTATGGTCCAGCAACCAATGGCCAGTTATTGGCTCCCAACAAATGCAAAATGCAACGTAAGAGAAATAACAGAGTAATGGCAATAAAACCTCCCAATTAAAAAAGAGGATATTTGGAAACATTATGCAGTGGCCACTGATCCTTGTCATATTCTGTAGACAGGAATAGTGAGGACCCTTGGCTGGTGGTGCTATGTGTTCTTTGATGAACACATCTGAGATGGCCACTGGGGAAGGTGCTCTTTAGAAGAGGTGACACTATTTTGGTAGCTCGTTTCCTATTAGGTTGAGTATAGAAGTCTGAGGATTGTCCTAAGATTAAGTAGTCACAGGCTATAATCAAATAGCCTTTAAGTTTACTTAACAGTATATTTTCCCTTTAATATTAGATTTTTCAACAATTTGCTTGTTGTTATTTTTGCAGGCAAGTAACCATGGCCAGGGACCTTATGTAGTCAAGTTTTTGTATCTTGGATTTTATTTCTTAATAGACCTTTATGATCTGCCAGTCCAGATTTAATGGCCCATCTTGAGATCTCAGTTTCATAGTATCTGCACTGGGGATATTCTAAAAATGAGCTTGCAGTTAGGAGGGAAAAACAGCAAAATTTATTTCTTATCTCTATAATAAGCATGATGTCACCCATCATCTCCATAATGCACGTGATTCTTATTTTAGTTAAGCAGAAATTAAACTCTTCAACCTTTGGCATGTTTAAGATTTTTAGGATTTTAGATATTTAGGTTTGAGATCTGAAGGGTGCTGTTCCTAAAAGTATAGACTACAGAGCTTACTAGCTTCTTATATCCTTGGTCAGGCAACATAGGGACTGTCTCTGAAACATTTATTTGATCTAATCTGCATATCATGAACACCTCTGGCTCATCAATGAGAGTCAATTTATAATATCTATTATGCAAGTCAGCAAACCCCTAATTTCACCTATGAAAACCCATTTGAACATTCATTTTATTGATTACCAAAGCATCAGGTGTTAATGGAAGATAATGATAGCTGAAGCATTTATTTTTGCTATGTTTGGAATGCATTCTTTATCTTTAAATATCAGCTGAATACTTCTAAAGTGATTCTAAATGAAGGCAATTGACAATGATTAGAGGATAAAGCAAATTTAGTAAGAGCCATAGAGGATAAAAAAATTTAGTAACACACTGTTTATAACACATTCCTTACAGTATTTTGAGGTAAAGCCTAACAATAAGAAACTCAAACTGATTTACACATTTACTATAATATTCATTATTCAATACTAAGGATCACTAGAAGAAAAATCAGACTCTATGTTGATTTAAAGCCTCACGTAACTGAATAAACCAGTATAGGAAAAGGAAGGAGCCAGAAAAGTACTTACTGAAAACTTTCAGTGTGTTCTTTACATCCTTTCACCTGTACACAATGTTTACAGATCTTTATCTGATCAGGGTTCCAGCTCCATGTCTCTTCCACGTTCTTGGTCTCAGGATGACTGCCTGCAGCCACAAGGACCACATGCTTTGTTATTCACATCAATTTTTGGGCAAAAGTCCTGTGATTGGTACTCAATCCCAATCCATTTCTTGTGGCCAGGGTAACACCATAGGTCAGGATTAGATGATCCTGGTGGGATTAATTTTGGGATGAGGGGCAAGTTAATTCCACTCAAACCTCTCAGGTGTATTCTGCACAATGTAGGAAGAGTAGAATAAATGTTGGGAAGGCAAGTGCCCACTACAATCATTTTCAAAGCATTTAAATATATAACCACTATATTATTTTCTTTGTAGGTATAAAAATAACCCAAGTGATCCTGAGTGTATGTATTAAAGACTCTGACCCCATTTTTGAAGTTTCACTGTTGACAACTTTCAAGCCCTCACCTGTTCCCTTTTGCTCTGCATCTGGGCAGGCTGATAAGAAAGCCTGGGGGCTCGCTTTTTGGGTGACAGTGGGAAATTCAAGCCACACAAGCCCTGGTACCTACATGGAAATTCTCACCCTAGCTCCATGCCTTAGCCACCCTAAAACCATCAGAGGCCAGTCTCTCCTCTCACTTCTACTTATCCCCTTCCAGTTATTTTGGACTTGTTTGGTAAGTCTACCCTGCTCTTACTTGAAAGTCTCATTATGTGAGTCACAACCCTTCTTATACCCCCTTGATGCAGGTGTGGCACCCTAAGTCCTGAAGTAGGAGCCAAATTTTAGGTGTGTGTGTCCGTATCATTTCTGTGGGTGGCTGCCCACAGCATATAAACTGCAACAGTGAGTTGACGCCATTTCCTTGTTCTCACCAGCAAATGCACCATCTTCCTCCTGCATCCCCTGCCTCTTTTAATAATCATAAACTGGGGATACATCTTCAGTTATTTCCTATTTCTTTTTACTGCCCACATGCTTTTACAATTCCTCCTTCTAGTTATTTCATCAGTCTTCTACCTGGTTTCTCTGTTTCTCCAGTCTTGGCCACCTCTTCTTTCTCTAATAATCTATTCTCCACATTGCTGCTGAAGTAATTCTCCCACAGTGTTGCTTAAATAACCCATTTATTTTCCAATACCTTCAGGATAGATTTCAAACTCATTAGCAGTTTACAGAACTGTCTATCCATCTTGCCCCATATACAGTTCCCATTTCTCTTGCCCCATTCCCACACACCACCACCCTCGCTTCCACTGAACCTATTCTTATCTTCACAGTTAACAGGCAAGGAAATACATACAAAGGTACGTGTTCTTTTGTCTAGAGCACACTTTTGTTCCTGTTTAATGCAGGTTGAGTGAGATATTCCTCCTCTGTATTTTAACAATAAACTTTATTTCAGTGCTTATTATCACTGTTTGATTTGTTTATACTTTTCTCCAAACTTGATCACCAGAGAGCAGGGACTATGTTTATCATCTCAGAAGGTCACAACTGGTAGGGTGATGGGCTTTCAGATACATACATAACCAAGATAAATATTAATATAAGGTGGCTTATGGAAAGTCCCCTGAAATGTAATAGAGCTGTAAGTTCTAGAGAAATAGAGCCATACATTTAATACATATATATTCTAGAAGAGATAAAAAGAGGTGTTGAGGAGAAATTAGGACATTCATACATTGCCAGTGGGAATGTAAAATGGTATAGCCACTTTGGAAAATAGTCTGGCAGTTTCTCAGAAGGTTAAACATAGGGATGTCATAGACTCAGCAATTTCACTCCTAGGTCTATACCTAAGTGAAATGAAAACATTATGTTGATATAAAAACTTGTATAATGAATGTTCACAGAAGCATTATTCATAATAGCTGAAACATGGAAACAACCCAAATGTCCACCAACTGATGAATGTATAAACAAACTTTGAAAACATGACGTGAAGTGAAAGAGGCCAGTCATAGATTGCATGATTTCATTCACACGAAATGCCCAGAACAGGCAAATCTATAGAGACAGGAAGTGGATTAGTGCTTGTTAAGGACTGGGGGACAGAGAATGGGAAGAATGGGGAGTGACCGACAAAGGGTTTGAGGGGTTTTTTGGGGGTGATAAAAATGGTATAAAGTGGATTGTGGTGATGGTTGCAGAACACTGTGAATACTAAAACCCACTAAATTACATAATAAAAAAGAAAAAGCACAGATTACTGGGCAGAGGGGAGGAAGACTTCATGGAGGCATCAAGATTTGGATTCACTAATAAACACATGATGTGAAAAGCAGAGGCGATGTGTCGTAGTCACTGAAGAAACCCTTTTGTTGGGCAGACCTGGCTTTGAATCCTACTCTGCCATTTGGTCAAGTCAACCTCCCTCCGTCAGTATCTTCATCTAAAAAGTGAATATGTTTTTCATATACTTACTTTGGAGGATTCATGTGAAGACAAGTTAGATAATAGATTTGAAATATTTAGCTCAATTCCAGTCACTAGAAAGTGCTCAATAACAATTTCCATTGTTATTTTCCATTGTAAATCAGTTTAATATTGAATATTGGATTAACTGGGATGGGAGAGCATGTAGCTGTATCAGTGGAAACTCAAAAACTCATCTGAAGTTTCCAGCAGAAGGAGAGATGAGACCCAAAATGATATCTAGGTAATTGTACTCAGTTTAAGGAACACTTATTGAATCCCTTCTTCTAACCACTAGCTACTGCTAGACTTCTGGAGATACAAAGACAAATGAGAAGTAGATTGTCAGACACACAAATGAGATGTGGTCCTTGGCTTGGTGGTCTAGCAGGTACAGAAAGCACCTTATTTCCATAATATAAATGTTTGCTGTGTAAAGAATATGGTGGACAGGACAAGAGAGTATAAAAGATGACATTTGTGCTCAATATTGAAACGGCTCAATAACCACTTGAGCCAGCAATTAAGTGGAGGATAGGATTCCTTGCTGACGTTTTCCACATCCAGTAGAGAGCAGAGATGATTACAGGCTGGCTTGAGCCAATTTTATTCAATGAAAAGATGAGAAAAATAATGCCCAAAATGTAAAAGAATGTCTGTCACACAATGAATGTTAATATTCCAAAGACTTCTGCTCAAAGTTCGAGGTAAAGTGTCTTTCTACTAAACTCTAAACTCCTTGAAGGCAAAGTTCTTGAATGTATCTTATCCATTTCTAGACTGTCAGAACCTGACCCAGCAAAGTACAAATTCAATAAAAAAATTATTAAATAAATGTTCTTCAAATTCTTCCACATCGAAAGTGGGAGAATCTTTAACAGCGGCCTGCTGGTTGACTGTTTCTCAGCTACTGACAGTCTGAATGGATAAAAATAATTTTATACAACCATGCTTCCTTCCAAATAAAACTGTCAGTTATGTCAATCTCTTTTCTCTTTCTTCAGGAGCAACTCTTTGAAGGCCTGGAAAAAAGGGGATGACAATGGCAGTTGAAAATTGTCTCTGAAACGGATGGCATATATAAATTGCTGTGATCTGGAGTCCAGGGCAAGAACAAAAATAATTCCTGAGCAGAAGTTCTTTAATGAAGTCATACAGTGGTGGTCTGGAGAAGTTCTGGGTTCAGGTACATCCGGGGCTTGAGTGTTCAGATCTGCAAGGATGAGATGGATTTGTCCCGTCAAGTGTTTCTTGGGCACTTGCTACATGTCACTTACTACACTTAGTTTTTATTGAGCTGTGCTTGTAGGTAGGGACGAGGTTAGGCCGGGCTCTTCTCACCAACAATCCTAGAGTCCTAGTTGGGAGTATCATCGTTGTGGGGACGGTTTTCCTTGCAAGGATCAGACATAGACACAGGACCTGTCAGTCCAGTGTAATTAACAGGAGTTAGCTCCTGAATGGCCCCCTTTTACAGGGCAACCCTCCACGGATCACTCAACCCAGGGTTGGCGGGAGTCTGAAGATGGGCCCTAAACTCGGGGCGCCGCTTGGGGTCACGTGACGCGCGTGCAGGTTGAGTGACAGGCGCAGCGTTGGGCGGGCCTTGGCGGAAATCAACTTCCGGGGGCAGAGGTGATCGAAGCCGGGGGGTCCGTGGGCTACCACAGCTCGGGCAGCGGCGGCCGCGGAGCGTCCACGGGTGCGGGGTCGGCCCCGGGGGGTGCGCGTGCGGGCCTGCGCGCTGGGGGCGGCTCACCTGGCCGTGCGGGTGAGCGGCGCGGCGGTGGCGGCGGCGAGAGCGGGGAGCAGGTAAGTGGACGCTCGCCGTCGGGGCCTGGGGCCGGGGCCGGGCCGGCCGCCCGACCGGAGGCGGCCTGCGCGCGGGCCTGGAGCGGGGCCGGCCTTCCGCCGCCGTGCGCTCGGGCCTCGCCCCCCGAGGGCGCCGGGACGGGGGGTCGGGGGCGTGACCCGCCTGGGGCTGGAGTGGAGCCTCGCCCCCCGGCAGGGCGTGCCGACCCGCGCTCGCTCCCGCCGTTGGGTTTCGGCCCCTGCGCGTTCCAGAATCCAACGTTTTCGAAAGTCTGCGCACAAGTGCACGTGATTATTGTGTCACTGGCGCTCACACCGGACGGAGACCGATCCTCGCGGAGTTTCCACCGATCGCGCTTGTTTATGTTTTCCCTTCTCTTTGCCAAGTCCACCGGGTAAAAGCGCTACAACGTCCGTCAGCCACGTTTCCTTTTAGTTACTTAGGGCCACAGGTTGCAGTAATAGTGGCCTCTCAGGGTTGAAGCAGAAGCCAGTAACTTTCCGAGAGGCGAGGCATCCTGCATCCCCAAAGTGCGCTCCCTTCTCCCCGCAGTAGAGCTGTTTCTTCCATCTGCCCGTGCTGCGTACTGCGGGGGAAAGCTTTGGACAGGAAACGTATTTTTGGCTTCACTTTTAAGAAGTGGCAACCGTATTAAAAGCGCTGAGCGCTGTTTTGGTGGGATGCTGCTGCTGCTCCTCTCACTTGCTTCCCTGGTGAGATTTGGGGCAGAGCCTGGTTTCCTGGAGGGTCAAGTCCTGGCCACAGCTGTAGTGATGATTCAGCGGCCCCGTAAGAATTCCCACTCTTGTCCTTCCCTCCGCTTCTGAACTGTGAAGATACTCGTGACACCTGCCTCCCCAGATATTTATCCGGGCCGTAGTTGGCTGATTGCTTTTGGAAATAGTTTGTATGTTGCCTGGTGGAGTGAGTGGGGCGGGCTGAGATTTCATCTTGTCATTGGGGTACGCTAACATTTCACCCCATAATGTAAAGCAAAATACCCAGGATATTTAGTTGGGTGGGGTGACAAGGATTGACAATAAATTCGCTCTGTTCTCAGAACCTCGGTGAACTCTTATGATTGATCCCATTTGCCCTCTGCTATAGTTCTTGATGCAGTGAGGGAAGGAATTGGCCGTATGGCGTCTGTACGTGAACGGAGCATGTCAATATCAGGGAGCGTGCACCTGTGGTGCTAGCTCCCCTGTAAATTGTGTAGTAGAGAATTGCCCTGGTTCCAGGCTGGCTGGTGGTGGTTCTGTGGGCCGGGAAATCTTACTGTGAACTGGTTTCCTAGCAACAGTATAAGCCAAATGGAATAAACATAAAGAAAACAGTGATGAAAGTTACGACTTACCTCTTAACTTTATTAAATGGAAAAATGCATCTTATTATTGGAGTGGTTCAGCACAGAACTTATGAGAATTGTTTATTTTAATCATCTTAATACCAGACAAAAAGAAACTGCAGAAAGTTATTAGAGTGACAGCACTCCCCTCCCTCCCCTGCCCCCCACCAAGAAAAATAGAAAGGTAGTTAACAATGAGCTGGTCTGAAGCTTAAATGCACTAATAGGAATTTGCCTACCAAGAGGCATTTTATTTTGTATCCCGAGCTGTAGATGTAAGATTTGTATATAGGTTTGTTACGAATAAAGAAAGCTGTATGAAGATTTATCTTTTTCTTGATAGCAGAAGTTGGGGTGGATAAGACTCTCTCCGTTGGTTAATTGAAAGGAGAGTGTTAGGTAAGTTGTTGCTAAATTCTAGTTCATAATCACAATGCTCCTTATCAACCGGTTCCTTGTGACTTTTGATCTTCCTTAAAAGTTCATCAGATTTTGTTATTTTCTGTGCAAACAATGAGAACTTAATAAAAGAGGCAACTCCTTTTAGATTAACTCTTTGTATGAATGTCTGTCTGTTTCTCCTTATTTACTAATCATAATTTTTTTTGATTTGCAACATTTCTAAGGATTTTTGTTTCCCCGCTATCTCCTATTCTCATGCCCAATAAGCTGGGTTTAGCTCATTTAATTTGATACATATTTTTCAAAAGGGCTTGTCCTGTGTCTTTTAAAATTTAGGCTTATTGTATAATTTACAAGTAAAAAAGTCAATCTTAGCATTTTGTTCTATAAACTCTGACAAATGCATATAGTCATGTAACAACCTCCAGGGTCCATAAAAAGAACATTTCCATCCTCATGCCCTTTGTAATTAGTTCCTTCCCTTCACCCATAGGTCCTGGCAACCATGGATCTGTTCTCTGTCCCTATAGCTTTGTCTCTTGGAATGTCATATAAATGGAATCTTATAGTATGTAGAATTTGTTTCTGATTTCTTTCACCTCATGCTTTTGTGACTCATCTATATTGATGCATGTATTTGTTCTTTTTTTATTGCTGAGTTCTATTCTATTTCATCGTATGAATATGTAATAATGTATCTATTCACCAGTTGGGCATTTAGGTTATCAGCATTTAGGCATGAAGCTGCTATAAACATTTATGTACAGTTCTTTGTACATTCATGTACAGTGTTTGTATAGACATGTGTTTTCATTTCTTTTGGTTAAATATGTAGGAGAGGGATTCTTGGATCATGTGGCAAATAAGAAATTACCAAACTGGTTTCCAAGATAGCTGTTTCATTTTGCATCCCTATCAATGATGTTTGTTCCATTTGCTCCACATCCTGGTCAGCATTTGTCGTTTTATTTTTAATTTTAGCTATTCTAATACATATTTAGTAATATCTCATGTTTTAATTTGATTTTTCTGTTGACTGTTATGTTAACATCTTTTCATGTGCTATTATTTGCTGTCTGCTATTTGTGTATCGTCTTTGATGAAGTATCCAAATCTTGTTTGTTTTTGGATTATTTTCTTACTGCATTTTAAATTTTATATAATCTGAATACAAATCCTTTATTTTATATATATGTATAGATACATATATTCACAAATATTTCCTTCAGCCTGTGATTTGTCTTTTCATTTTTGTATCAGTCTTTCAAAGACTGATCTAAAATTTTGAAGAAGTCTGGTTGGTTTATCATTTTTATTCTTTTCTGATTTGTGCTTTTGTGTCCTCAGAATTTTTTGCCTAACCCAAAGGTACAAAGATTTTTTTTCTTAACTATGTTTTCTTTTAGAACTTCTGTAGTTTTAGATTTTACCTTTAGGTCTCTGGAATGTTTTGATCAATTTTTGAATGTGGTGCAAGATACTGGTTGAGATTCTCTTTTTTCCTCTCCTTGTATATGCCCAATTTGTTCAGCACTGTTTATTGAAAAGACTATCCTTACTATCTTTTCTGAAGTAAATCTTTCTTGGTGCCTTTGTCAGAAATTAATGGACTGTGTTTGTGGATATATTTCTGGACTCTCAATTCTGTTGCATCTTTCTGTGTGTCTTTCCTTTGGCCAAAACCACATTGTCTTCATTACTGTAGCTTTGGAAAGACTGAGTCTTCCAATATTGTTGCTGTTTTTCAAAATTGTTTAAGGTATCTTAGCTCCTTTCCATGTAAATTTTTAGAATCAGTGTGTCTATTTCCATAAAAAAGCATTATGGGATTTTGATTGGGAATGCACTGATGCTATAAATTCATGGAGAATTGACATCTACATATTGTTTTATAATCCATTAATAAAGAATCTTTTTCTCTTTATGTCTTTGATTTTTCTCCTTAATGATGTGAAGCTTTGAGCATAAAAATCTTGCATATATTTTGTTATATATGTATCTAAATGTTTCATGTTATTTGGTGCTGTTGTAAGTTGTAATCTTAAAAAAAATTTCAGTTTACTTATTTACTTAAATAAGTAGACATTTTATATTGATTTTGAATCCTCCACCTTGCTGAATTCACTTATTAGTTCTGGTAGCTTTTGTAGACTCATTGTGACTTTTTCTTTTATTTTGGTATCATTAATGTACAATTACATGAGCAACATTATGGTTACTAGACTCCCCCTATTATCAAGTCCCTCCCACATACCCCATTACAGTCACTGTCCTTCAGTGTAGTAAGATGCTATAGAGTCACTACTTGTCTTCTCTGTGTTATACTGCCTTCCCCGTGTCCCCCCCACTACATTATGTGTGCTAATCGTAATGTCCCTTTTTCTCACCCTCCCTTCCCGCCCATCCTCCCCAGCCCCTTTCCCTTTGGTAATTGTTAGTCCATTCTTGGGTTCTGTGAGTCTGCTATTTTTGATCCTTCAGTTTTTTCTTTGTTCTTATACTCCACAGATGAGTGAAATCATTTGATACTTGTCTTTCTCCACTTGGCTTATTTTAATGAGCATAATACCCTCTAGCTCCATCCATGTTGTTGCAAATGGTAGGATTTGTTTTCTTCTTATGGCTGAATAACATTCCATTGTGTATATGTACCACATCTTCTTTATCCATTCATCTACTGATGGACACTTAGGTTGCTTCCATATCTTGGCTATTGTAAACAGTGCTGCGATAAACATAGGGGTGCATATGTCTTTTTGAAACTGGGCTGCTGCATTCTTAGGGTTCCTAGGAGTGGAATTCCTGATCAAATGATATTTCTATTTTGAGTTTTTTGAGGAACCTCCATACTGCTTTCCACAACAGTTGAACTAATTTACATTCCTACCAGCAGTGTAGGAGGGTTCCCCTTTGTCCACATCCTCGCCAACATTTGTTGTTGTTTGTTTTTTCTATGTTGGCCATCCTTACTGGTGTGAGGTGATATCTCATTGTTGTTTTAATTTGCATTTCTCTGATGATTAGTGATGTGGAGCATCTTTTCATGTGCCTCTTGGCCATCTGAATTTCTCATTGGGACTTTTTATGTAGACAATCTTGTCTGCCAATAGAGACAGTTTTATTTCACATTTTCCAATCTGTTTACCTTTTATTTTATTTTCTTGTCTGATTGCCCTGTCTGGTACCTCCAGTGTGGTGAAGTGTGAAGTCAGAGCAGACATCCTTGCGTTGCTTCTCACCTTGGTGGGT